ATGGTCTGAGGGCTCAGGGGTGGTATACTGGGAAGGGACCAATGGGGAATGCCAGGATGGATGGGCAGGGTTACACACACCAATGGGAAAACAGGGAAGGGAGAACTCTCTAGAACATGAATGTAAGGGTAAAAGGGGTGGGGAAGGCCAATGGGGAGAACAGAACTGGGATAAACTGCTGTAGTGCTGCAGAGTGCTGTGTGGGAAGCCTCTTTCCTTGCCCTGTGAGGAGTGTCTGGAGTCTATAGTGCATCTTTCCAGGGCATTGGCATTGCCCTCTCCCCAGTGGGCTCATGGGCCTCCTCAGGTCGGGTTCTCTGGCACCAGTTGCCTTACTGGAAGTTGGAGAGTGCAGAGGCATGAAGCACAGGAGATTGTGCGTCCTGCCACCGTGAAACTCCTCTGCCTGTGAGCCAGGGCAGGAGAAACCATCAGAGGTGCTGTGTGAGTGGGATGCAAGTGGCATCTTCATTTCACTCTTCGATAACTCTAGGGCTTTGCAATTACATGTCCTGATCTGATAGTCATTAGGGAATGATCAGCCAGTCATTGGCAGGGACTGTTTGCCTTTCTGCTAATTAAGTTGCATTTGATTTACAATCAAATCTAATGAATCAAGTGAGCTTAAGGCAGGCTCAAAGGAAGCACAGGCCAGCTCCACAGCCTTGCTGTTCATGAGGAGCCACATCCCAGGGACGCTGCCAGGAACAGCCCTGGCGTGGGGCAATGAGGCACACGTGTGCAAGGTGAGCAGGGCTGTGTTTGTGGCAGGCACAGGTTTCCTGCCATGCTGCTAGCAGGTGACCTGTCAGGCTGTGGGCTTTGAGACAGTGCATTGGGTTGGCATGACCAGGCTTTGGCAGGGGGAGCTCTAGGAATGGCTTCTGCAAGAAGCTGCCGGAAGCTTCCACCATGTCCAGCAGAGCCAATCCCTGGTGGCTCCAAGGATGGACATGTCACTGGCCAAGGCTAGGCCAGTTAGGAGTGGTAATGCCTCTGAGATTACATATTAAGGAAGGAAAGAAAGAGGCTTTTGTGCAGTTGTAATTGTGGCCAGACAAGAGCGAGGTGAGAATATGTGAGAGGAAAGCTCTGCAGACACGAAGGTCAGCGGAGAAGGAGGGGAAGGAGCTGCTCCAGGTGTTGGAGCTGAGATTCCCCTGAGCCTGTGGTGAAGACCATGGTGCCCCTGCAGCCCAAGGATGCCGTAGGAGTGCAGAGATCCACCTGCAGCTCCTGGAGGAGCCTGTGCTGGAGCAGGGAGATGCCTGAGAGGAGGCTGTGACCCTGTGGCAAGCCCATGGTGGAGCAGGATTCTGGCAGGGACCTGCAGACCTGTGGAGAGAGGAGGCCACACTAGAGCAGGTTTGCTCACAGGAGCTGTGACCCTGTGGGGGACCTATACTGGAGCAGCCTGTTCCTTGAAGGACTGACCCCATGGAAAAGTGACTCACATTGCAGCAGTTTGGCTAGGACTGTTGCTTGTGAAGTGGACTCACATTTCAGAAGTTCATGGAAAACTATTCCCCCATGGGAGGGACCCTATGCTGGAGCAGCAGAATGACTTCTGTCCCTGAGCAGTGTCCCATTCCTGTCTCCCTGCAGCACTGTGGGGAAGAAGGTAGAGCTGGTAAAGAGGGAGGGGTGGGGAGGAAGGTGTTTTTAAGGTCTTATTTTATTTTTCATTATCCTGCTCTGATTTTGTTAGCAATAAATTAATATCTCTAATTAGAGCCTGTTTTGTCTGTGACAATGAGTGAACTATCCCAGTCCTTATCTCAACTCATAAATCCTTTGTCATATTTTCCCTTCCCCGTCCAGCTGCAGAGGGGACAGATGGAGAGGCTTTAGTGGGTGCCTGGGGTCCAGCCAGGGTCACTCACTACAGCCAGACACCCTGTGCTGGCATGAAGAGCTCCTCAGGCCAGGGCTCCTCTGGCTGCCAGGCCAAGAGAGAGACAAGGAGGACAAGGAGGACAGCCCTGGCTGCTGGCTGTGCACGAGGGGCAGGGAACAGCCCGGGGCACGGATCCCAGAGGGGCTGCTGCTCCTCTCCTGCACCTCCCGTCGCAACAGGAGTGTGGCAGCTTCAGCGCTTTGGGGCACCGTGTGATTCCAACAGACCCCTGGATGTGTGTTGAGAGAGGAAAGGCTGTTCTGAGCTCACACCCATCAGACTCCAGCAGCACTTGGGGAAAACCCTGTGGTCTCTCTCTGCACCATCCAAGGCAGATGGACAAGGCTGGTTCTGATGTCTGCATGTTGCCTGAGTGACTCCTGCTGCAGTGACTACACCACCAGCTGGTGACTGGTGCTGCACCCGTCACACACACAGGAACATCCAGGAGCCTCTAACACAAGACTGCTCCAGGCAAGTTGGTTGGGCATCCTTGCACTCAGTTTTTTTGGGATTGCCTAGTGCCCACAGGTCCCAAGCAGCAAGTGGGACCTGGGTCAGAGGCTGAAATTAAAGTGTCTTGTTGTGCTAGCTGGTGCTACTTTTACAACCTGAGATGATTCAATACAGTCACATTTTATTTTTAAAAAAAGAAAAAATGAGAAGTCAAGAGGATTAACTATCACATATGGCACCGAGATTGTCTGGAAAGACCAGCTTAGCTTTCCTCTGAGTGCTTAAGCTGATATTAGCAAATACAAGCCCTAAACAACATTGGGAAGCCTAAATGGAACCCAGCATGATTGCATCAATTTAAAGAATCTGATTAGAAATAGCATAAACATTCTTTAACTTATTGAAGACAGCTGAAGGCAACAATGTTAGACAAACAACGAAGACACCAGCATCTGGCGCCTTGCTCCTCTGCTTTGAGAAATGACAGCTGCAATTTCTTCAAGGCTCTGGCAGCAGGAATTTATACTAGAAAATATTTGAAAGTAACTGTTTAAATTCAAAGAAAAGAAGCGGATAGAAAAGTGAAGAAACCCTGCATCCACTTTGGCCAAGAAGGAGCTTTGGTGGATCCTCAGAATGGACAGTCTCCTCTGCAAACACTTCAGAAGTTCTGTCCTGCCAATGGAGAAGAGCAAGTGAGTAATAAGACAGAGGAGATGACATTTCCAGACAAAACAACTTGAACATCACTCCAGCACCCCATCTGCCACTTACAATCCCTTTGGTGCCTTCTAGTTTTCACCAGACAATGAGAAGAATATGCCAGGCTCTGCAGAGGCCCCCTCACAGTGTAGGAGATACTCACAATAGCTGCAATAAATGCCAGATTTCGTTGATGTGTTGGCAAACTATGACACAGGGCAGACTGAACGGAACTTTTGCACAGGAAAATCACACCTCAGAAATACATCTCTCTGGAGGAGTCAACAAGATATAAGCATTGGACATCCTCATGTCACCCGGCAAGTCCATCAAAGCTCGCAGAGGACAAGCTGGCATAGGTTAGGGAAGAAGATCTCACTAAGATAAATCACAGAATGATTTAGACTGGAAGGTCATCCAGTCCAGCCTCCTTTCTCAAGCAGAGCCCCCCAGAGCAGTCACTCAGGATTGTGTCCAGATGGTTTTGAGCTCCTCCAGACATGACTCCAGACCCTCCTGGGCAGCCTGTCCCATGCTTGGTCACCTATCCAGTGAAGAGTGGCTGAGAGAAAGGCAGGAAAGTCACCCAGAGGGGTCACTGTGCTGACTGACAGAGATCTGGTAAAACATCTCATCCACGTGCAGTGAGTGCCAGAGGGGGCAGCATGAGGAGATATTAGAAGACCAGAGAATAGGACAAGGCTCCATGTAAATCTCAGTTGTACCCCCACCTTTTCAGGGAGGTGGAGGTCCAGGTCTGGCCTGGCAGCCCCAGCAGGGACATGGCCTGAACAGGGCAAGGAGAGAGAGGGTGACAGGGGAGGCTGGGAGGACAAGGAGGCTTGTCAAAGATTCAAGATCTGGAACAGCATAAGGAACACAAATAGAGATGATCTTGCATCACCAGCAGCCATCAGGCGCTGCTCTCAAGCTGCTCCTCAGCCACCAAAAGCTGTCCCCGCACTTCCTTTGCCCCAACACTCTTCTGCTGTCTCCATCAGTTTTTGGGCCCCTGTGTCTGGGCTGATCCTCACTGCACCAGCAGCCCTGGTATGTTTCCATGGCCCTTGGCTGTGCAGCTGAAGATGGAATCAGCATGACAAGCATAAGGGAGAGCAGAGGCAAGTGAAGCTCCTTGCTGCAGGATGCCACCATTGCTGAGTAGGTGCCTAAACCCAGGAAGCCCTTAGGAACATTCAGGGAAGAAAAGTCCCTTTTTATCAGATATATGATGACATCTGGCCAGGTTTGTGGGGGGATAAAGGAGTATTGGATGACCTGCAGAGACAGATGCAAGCTTGATGGAAGGGCTGAGGGACTGTGGAGTGCTGCATGGGGACCCACCGCCTGCTCTGCACGGATGGGACTCACACCCAGCAAACACTGAACTGTCAGCTTGTGTGTCCTCACAGCCCAGCTCCAGCAGGGCTTTTCTCTGTGTGCTGCCCAGAAACCACAGGCAGCTCTCCAGGTTTGGCTCCAGAGGATTCAGACAGCCATGTTCCACAACAGCTTGCACTGGGGCAGAGAGATCCCAAATCTGAATCTTGCCCTGCCTTGGCTCAGCCTGCACTGCTGGATGAGCTCCTGGGGCTCCCAGGGAGCAGAGAGCTGCAGGCACTGCAGGGCAAGAGGAGGAGAGGTGGTGGGTGGTGCGGGTGGATGCAGCCCTCCAAACTCTCTCAGTGGCCTTTTCCATGCAGCTCCTCCTGCCCACAGGATTCCCAGCCCCACTGCACCCTTTGCCTTATCTCTGCCTGGCCTGGTCCTGCCCCTCTGGGAGGCACCCAGGAGGGAAAAATCTTGTGGCTCTGAAACTGCCCTCACTTGGGCAAGCTCAGCTGGGATCACTCCTGGCTGTTCACCATCCACAGCCCCCAGGGGGACAACAGGAGAGAGCACAGGCCCCAGCACCCCAGGTTGTCCCCAGACAGCTACACCAACACCTGGCGAGGGTTTCTGTTTATTTGGCAAAAAGCAGGGACTGTGTGCTGGAGGAGCAGGGACTCTGTCAGAGTCCTGACAACAGTGCTAAGAAGAAGGATGGTGGAGCAGGAGCCTGGAGCTTCAGAGCATGGGTCTTATATTGCTTGGCAGGAGCATCCACAAGCCAGTCTGCACTCTCTGGAAAACAGGTGGGAGAGGTGGTGTCTGGGTGAGGCAAGGACACCTGTGGGACTCTCCATTAGGATCAGTGCATTCTTCTCCAGTTCTCCCCAGATTTGTAGGGTGAGGCACCTCCAGCAATGGATTTCTAGTAACTCCTACAGCTGTATGGCGAGAAAACACAGGCTAGGGGGCAACAGCAAAAATGGTTTGCATGGTGAGACACCAACCCCTCTGGCCAGGTTTGCCAGTCCACAAGCCCAAGGTCCCTTGGGCAGGAGCTGCTGTCCTGGCCCTCACTGCTCAAAGGGCTGGGCAGACATTTCTCTGGTGGTTTCAGCTCACATGCCCATGTTCAGTGCCAGGCACATCCCACTGGGGGTCTCTGGACACTGCTCCTTGGCAGTGCCTGGGCACTGCTACCTGGGGGCCCCTGCTGCAGAGAAGTATCCAAAGGAATGGTCCTACCTGTATGCAAGCTCCAGCACCAGCTCAGACCAGAGGAATTCAAAGAGTTCTTGGTGGCCCTTGCTTTGGGGGCACCAAGAAGGTAAATTTCCAGGAGAGAACATTGCAAACACCAATTTGCACTGCGGCAACTCACCTACGGTTCACCAAGTCTGCATTCCTCTGTGGAAACAAAGAGAAAGCCTAAGTCTGGCACTGTGGTCTGAATAATCCCATTTAGCACCCAAAATAGACTGCTCAGAAGGAACTTGTGGGTTTCTTCTTGCTCATTGTGCCCAGCCAGAGCACCGCTGGCTGTCAGCACTCCCTCCTGCCAGCTCAGACCATGAAGTGGTGGCACTGATGGGCTGAGCTGGTCCCTGCCTGCATGTCCCTGCATGGGCAGTGCTCACCCTGCCTGGGCAAAATCCAGATTGTCTCGTCGGTGAAGCCATTCAGCTTGGCAAGTCTCTTGAACAGCAACTTGATTTTGGGTCTCACCCACTGGGTTCTGCCTAAAGACAAAGACATGAGTTAGCTCCAGGCTGTGCCTGACCCTGCATCTCCTGGGAAGCTGGTGAGTGTGTCCACCTGAGGGTGGGATGGATGGCAGTCCCTGGGAGAAGGCTGGAGGCACTGGTGGAGGTCCTGGAGAGCAGTGGTGGCCAGGCACATGAGACACCACACCCAGGATACAAGATGAGCCAGAGGTCCTGACACCAGTGCAGTGACTCCTCTCTTGGTTCCTGTCGCCACTGATTCTGTTCTGCCTGTGCAGCAGGACCCCCACCCTCCACCCTTCTCCACAAGAAACTTACCCAATGCCATGGACTGGCAGCACAGTGCTGGGAGCCTGAGCCCCAACCCCCCTGCCATGCCAAAGCCCTGCTCCTTCCCTTCCCTGCCACACAGGGAACACACGCAGTCCCTGCCCCACTCCTGCACCTCACCCTGGGCAGGAGTGGAGAGAGAACATTCCCTGGCTCCTGCCCTTGCAGGACCCTTGGAGCAGCTCAGCACTGCTGGCTACGCACTGTAAAGTCTCAGCATGTGCAAGGTCTTCCCCTCTTTCTCTCTGGTGGCAAAGACAACCATGTAGGAGCTGCCGTCGGTGTCCACCAGCCGCACCGTCTTATTGCCTCTGTCTGCAAAGGGATGTGGAGAAAAATTAATTACCTCCTCCTGGAAACCCCCACTGTGCAAAGGGGCTGTAAAGAGCACGAAGCCCACCAAACCTGAATTTCCTTGATATCCCCTCATCCTAGGTTTTTCCTCTTGCTAAGGCTCCTCAGGAAGCCTGGGGAGCCCACAGACCACAGCAGAGAAGAAGGATGGGGAAGCGAGGGCAGAAAGGGCTGTGGATGGTCAGTGCAGGCTGTTGGCCAGTGTCACACTGCTCCTTGGGCTGGGAATGATGCAAAACCACCCTTGCTCCATCCCCTGGGAACATCCACTCACAGCCCCTTTGCAGAAGGAACCAGCTTTTCCCTAGGGTTTAAACTTGGCCTCAATGTGTTTATCGCAGAGGGAGGGACTGGGGACTCTGCCACGCTGCTGGGCCACCAGCCCTGGGGTGCAGCTGGCACCTGAACACAGAGGGATGTCTCAGCCAGGATGCCGGAGGGGCAGGCAGTCCTGAGGGCCATGTCCCCAGGAGCAGCCAGCTGCTTCAGACAGGGATGGTGGGACATGCCCCTATCCTGTCCCAGGAGCCAGGCACCCCCACTCACCAGAGCTGTAGTATTCACCCGGGCTGCCTGTTGGCTTGTAGATCGATTCAAACTTCATACATCTCCCAGGGCTGCAGAACAGTGAAGGATGCTCCAGCTGAGGGGAAGGGACTCCCTCTCCCTTCTCCCCTCCCCTGTTCAAGGGCTGCTATCCCAGATGTGAGACTTGCTGTTCAGAGATGTGATGGTGTGGCCAGGGCAGGAGGGGACAGATACCACCCTTAGAACAAGGGGTACCTGGGGTGGCAGGGGACAGTGCTGGCACCTGGGCATTATCGATGCCCTCACTCATGCTCTGAGGTTCTGGGATGAGGCTGGGTCTGCTGGGAAAGTTGTAATTGTAGGGTCCTGTCCCACCCTCTGTGGTGGCACTGGTCCTGGCCAGTGCTGTCCTGAGCCTGCCCTAAAGATGGGTTGCCCACAGCTGTCCCAAGCCCCTGGTGTTCCTGTCAGGACCCCTGCCCAGATCTTTGGTGAGTGCACTGAGGTGGAGACCCGCCAGTGAAGGTCCAGGGAGGAGTTTGGTAGTGAAGCCAGTGGAGAAAAGCATGTAGGGCTTACGTGGGAATTGCAAAGGAGACCTTCAGGTCACCATCCCCCCGGACCTCAATGCTGGCCATCGCCATCTTCAGCTGGTCCTTTTTTTGGAGGTAGCTCTCCGAGTCAGAGGCCATAGCAGTGATGTACCATGTCCCTGCAACCTGGCAGTGAGAGCAGGCTGTGAGTCCAGAGGAGCAGTCTAGAGAGTCTCTTCCTCAGGGACCGAGCCAGGACAATCTCAGTCCATGGAACATCTACATCCCATTCAGGCAACAAAATTCCCTTAGGGACACCTATGCAGGAGCTGGGTGACTGTCCTCACCTTGTGTGTCAGCAAAGCAAATGGTGGCTGTAGTGACCCCAGCACCAAAACACCTTTACAGTCCTCCCTTCTCTGCTGGTGACTGGAGAACAAGCCCCTT